AAATTTGGGTGGGCTAATTTCTTTCAATTCTTTATATGTTCTAGATATTAGTCTTTTGTCTGAGGGATTCCTAAGCACTGCTCAGCTGGCTAAAATTCAAGATGCAGAAAGAACCCAAACACACTCAGCCCACCTTATCTTTGACAAAGGGGCCAAACATGTTCACTGGAAGAAGATAACCTCTTTAATAAATAGTGCTGGATAAACTGGCTTTCCACATGCTGAAGACTAAGACTAGACCCATGTCTCTCACCATGCACTAAGCTAAAGTCAAAGTGGATCAAAGATCTAAATATCAAAACAGAAACACTAAATCCACTGGAAGAGAGAATAGGTGGAACACTTGAGGACATAGGAGTAGGCAAACATTTCATGAACAAAACCCAGACCACATAGGAAATACTACCAAGAACCAACAACTGAGATCGCATCTTACTGAAAAGCTTTCACACAGCAAAATAAATCACCAACAGAGTGAAAAGACAACCCAGAAAGTGGGGAAAAATTTTAGCCTTTTAACTTTATGATGTTTGCTTCCAGAAGTTGAATATTTTTGCTTTCTCCAATTTTTTTCTTTCCTTCATAGATTCAGCCTTTCAGTGCCTGGCAAGTGAATCTTTCCTGGACTTACTGGCTGAAGTCTCATGCATAAGTGCCAGCCTGAGTGAGCACTGTTCAGCCTCCCAGGCGATCTCGAAAGAGATGGGGCCTAACTATGCCTGCTCTGAGAAAGGGTGGCAGCTTGGAGAAAGGAAAGGGCTGCCCCATCTCGGTCAAGAAGTCACAGGAAAAGGCAGTAGTACAAAAAGTTAATAAAATTTCAGTAAAGCTCCATGAATGAGTCCACAAGATCCAATGTACAGTGTAATAACTTCATAATGACTATGGCAAATACTACCATGCTAAGTAGTGGATCTTTAATGTTCTTACCACGAAAGAGTTTAACAAAATAAGTCATTTTTCAAAAATATATAATTTCTCAAACTTCTAAAAATTTTAAAGTAAGTTTAAAATAATTAAAATTTTAATAAAAATAAAAACTAAATCTAAAACTAAATGATTAGTAAGCACAGAGGAGGTGGTCACACATAGAAAGGTGGAGAAACACCAGCTGAAGCCACCCCTGCCCTGTGTCTCTGCACCAGGCCCCTCTTTCCAGGGCTGGCAAAGAAAAAATAAATAAAAAGAAAAATAGAGCTTTTGCAAATGGGAAGAGGAGTGAGATCTGGAAGGAGCAGGAAGGGAAAAGACGGGTAGAGGATGGAAAAGAAAAAGAGACTTAATGTGTTACATACATGCACCAACTGCTTACAGTAAATGTGAGCATTATGTAATCCAAACATGTACTAGAAAGACAGGAGAGAGAGAGAGAGAGAGAGAGAGAGAGAGAGAGCGTGCCAGGCTGACCTATTTCCCCTTCATTCCCACAAGTTGAGAAAACCAAGACATCTTTTCAGGAGCCCCACAGCCTTGCATGTAAACTTGTTCTTCCTGGGACCTTTTCGTTCCTTCTCCAGCCTCGTTGGAGGTCCACACCTTCAGTTTTCCTCATCTTTTTGACTGATGACTTTGCCCCAAACATTATTGAGTGGGAGAAGCTATCAGATATGAACTTTCTCTTTTTATCATCACTGAATCTATAAATGTTCTGGCATGGAAAAACATCTTTTTTTGGTTCATTTGCTAAAAATGAAGATGTGTCCATTAGTTCCTGGATTTCATCCCATTTCAACTTCCTGAAGATTTGGAATCTTTCAGTAACTTATCACATGCGTCGTTAATTATTTTCTTCCTATGAATCATTTCCCTGGGCACACACACATTTCTTTTTACCTGTAACATTGCTGTCCTGTAACCTCCCCCAATCTCCTGCAATGATCATGCTGTCCTTATGCTCACTTTTACAGCCAAATTTCTAACAATTGCCTACGTGTGCCACCTCTCATCTCTAGTTACCATTCACTCTTCTAATCTGGCTGTTACATTTCTTCACTCAATTGCTTTTGCTAGTGATGACTGTTACCTAATTTAAGGAACATCTTATTAAACCTTGACAACTGTCCATGTACGTGGCTACCCTTGCTTCTTAAACATGCTCTTAGGTTTTTCCAACTCTTCTGATCAGGCCACCTCACTATTCTTTACTGACTTTTCCATCCTTTCAAAGTCTAAATGTTAGAATTCCCTTGGGTTTATCCTAGATTTTCTTTGTTCTATGCATATTCTTTTTCTGGGTGATTTTATTGACTTCCTTGGCTTTAAATGCAATCTACAAGCCAAGAATTCTAAAAGTTGTAGTTTTAATACAAAGCTTTCTTTTGAGATACATTTTTTTTTTTTCTTTTTTGGTTCTGGAGATTGAACCCAGGGCTTTGCACATGCTAGGCAAGCACTCTACCACTAAGCTACACCTCAATTCCATGAAATCCAGACTTTTATATCGAAAGTATTCTTGACTTAATCATTTTGAAATCTCAAAGAAACCTGAAACTTGTCATGTTTAAAATCAAAATAGGGGGACTTACTCTACCTGACTTGACTGCTGCAGCTGTCAGGTGACTGAAACAGAAGAAAAAACAAAACAAAAAGATATACAGAACTGGCTACAGTCTAGCAATAAGCTCATACACATATGGCTTTGATCCTTTGATAAGGATACCAGAGAAATGTAGTAATGAAAGAATAATCTTTCCAAAACCTGGTGCTGGAACAATTGGACATGCATGTTAAAAAAAATAGATGAACTGCAATTCATACCTCACATTAGATACAAAAGTTAGCTCAAAATGAATCCTTGTCCTAAAAGTAAAACCTAAAATTATAAAACTTCTAGAAGAACACATAGGAGAAAATGTTGTCTAATGTAGTTAAAGGTTTTTGTAGATAGGACAAAAAGGGAACAAACCATAATAAAATTGACAAACTAAATTTATCAAGGTGAAATACTGTTCTGTAAAGGAAACTGTTAGAAAAATGAAAAGAAAAGCCGAGAATGAATAAAATATATGCAAACTACAAATCTGATAAGGCACTAGTCTCCAGAATATGTGAAGACTTTCTCAAATCAATAATAAGAAAGCAAGCAACACATTCCTTTTTTTAATCAAAGAAGCAAACGATATGAGCAGGTATTTCACCAATGTGAATATACAGATGGCAAATAAATATATGAAACTCAACACCCTTAGTCATTAGGGAAATTCAAACTAAAATCACAATGAAATTTCAATAAATTCTTAATAGGATAGCTAAAGGATATTTTTAATATCTCACATTATCAGGTTTTGGCAAGGATAAAGAACAATCGGAATAGTCACACATTTCTGAGAGAAATACAAAATGATATCACCATTTTGGAAAATAGGGTGGCTATTTCTTATAAATTTACCAAAGAATCCATCATTTCATTTCTAAGTATTCTTCCAGATGAAATGAAAATATGTCTACATCAGAATCCATACACAAGAGTTTATATCAGTGTCTTTTCAAAATTGTCAAGAACAAGAAATATTCCAAGCCTTTCTCTACTAGAAAGTGAATAAACTACATGCTGTATATACCAATGAATACTGCTCAGCAATTAAAGGTCTGATTTCCTAGCCAACAGAAGCAGATGGATGGACGGCTTTCAGGTGCATTATGACAAGTGGAAGCCTACATATTTAATTTAATTAATATGACATTCTGGAAAAAGAAAAATTATAGGGACAGGAAAAACATCAGTGGTAGGCAGGGGTTGGAAAGAGAGAGGAAATAACCACAAAGGGCATCAAAGAACTCTTTAAGATATTTATAATAATAGTTTCATGAAAATAGTGTTTCTCAAAACCAGTGAATTTTACTGTGAATCTTACCATCTGTAAATTATTCCTCTATTAACCCTTCAAAAAGCTAGTTTAACATTCAGCCCAATGTGTATGTTTCTTCCTCAATTTTCTCCATCTCAAAAGCCAGCATTGCTGTCTGCCTATTTTCTGAAATCAGAGGCTCTGGAATTTCCTTTTCCTTCACCCACAACCTGTGTACAATCCATCTCTAAATCCCCCAATGCCACTTCCAAAATACAGTGCAAAGCCAGTCCTAATCGTCTTACCCAAGCCTGCCCCAGTGCAAGCCAGCATCCCTTTTCATGCCACAGCTGCTTGTTTCCTTGCTGGTTGCCTCCTTGTGTTCTTGCCTCTTCGACTCATTCTCTGTACAACTTCAGAATGACAGTTTCAAGTGAAAATTAAATCACAACATGTCTTGCTTAAAACCCTTCAGCATCTGCATCTCGGGAGCCTGAACCTTGGCCTCCAGAAGGCCCTGTTATCCGCCACATCTGATGTCACCGTGGCACTGTCCCCTCTCCCGTCTGTCCTCTTGTCCCTCCCATCCTACCATACTCAGGCATTTGCTTCAAAATCCCAGTCTTTAGCTCTCCCAGCAAACACCAGTTTGTGCTATTCCCTAGATCTCCACTCCTCTTGCTCCTAACTCCTTTTTTTAATGGCTAGCTCTTTCTTATTCTTAAGGTCTCAGCTTACACATTATGTCCTTAGAGAAATTCTTACACATTTTATTTCAGTTCACTGGTGACCTTAATTTTCACACCCTTGTTTCTCTTCTATTGTACTTTCCCCCACTTTTAATCATATACAGCATTTATTAACTTTATTAACATTTATATCCCATACTGGACTATATATTCTTTGAAGGAAGAAACTATTTTCTCTTTTTTTTACCTACCACATTACCTGATGCATAGTAGGAGCTGAATAAATGTGGATTCAGTAAATGAATAGATTAATGCACTTCCTATAGTGACAACATTTTAAGACCACAATGTGATCATCACTGAATGACCTCTGCCAAAAGAACTCAATGTGTGTTCCTTAGGGTCCCTGAACTCTGCTGAGGGCCTGAGAACACCTGCTAGATAGCCTGCCTCACTAAGGAGGGGTCACTAAAGCTCAAAACCTCGAGTATGGTGATGACACAGTCAGCCGCCTGGAGCTTACCTCGCCACACCAATTGCTTGGCGCAGAGAATGGAGCTTGGTGTGGTACAGAAGTGCAAGGCTGTGTGTCCACTGAGGGAGTAGCAATTGAGCTTGGCTCCACGGTCACAGAGGATCCTCACGCAGTCCACATTGGCCATTTCACACGCCACGTGAAGAGGGGTCTTCCCATTGGGTCTGCAGTTGATTGTGGCATTGTGGTCCAGTAGCACCAAAAGGCATTCCACATGCCCGAACAAGACAGACAGGTGCAGGCCTGTGGCCCAGGAAGATTTTAATTTATAACTAGGCAACCAATAACCTGGGAAAAGAAAACGCTGTCTCATTTTTTGATTGAGAATTTTTCCTTGTTTTGTGAGAATTTTTACAAATTGAGTAAAAACTGACCCATGGGTTATAGACTGGTAGGTGATGGATCTGCCAGTGTTTTGTTCCATAAATATTTAGATATATCTAAGTGAGTTAGGCTTTCCAAGTTTCTTCCTTACTCTCTTTGTATCTTCTTTCCTCTCTTTCTTCATCTCTCCCCTCTCTTTCTTTCTTTTTCCTTCCTCTCTCCCTCCCTCCCTTCCTCCCTTCCTCCCTTCCTTCCTCCTTTCATTTTTTCTTTCTTGTGTTTTCATAGTCCTGGGGATTAAACCCAGAGCCTTGCACATGCTAAAGAAGCCCATACCACTGAGCTCCATTCCCAGCCTTTTTTTGAGGCAAGGTTATGCTAAGTTCCTTGGGTTCCTAAGATCCTCCTGCCTCAGCCTCCCAAGTAGCTGAATTACAGGCATGCACCAACACACCCTGCTCTTCTTCAAGTTCTTTCTGTCTCTACTATTCATACTATTTTTTCCTGTATGTATTTTACCTTCTTGGGTCACAAAGGGATTTGAGTTTGAGGCCTCCATTTCTGTGGTTGTACTTTATTTTTCATGATAAATTATGAGACTCTTCAGAAATTTTTTAAACTCCAATCATTGAGAATTTGTCTTAAATAAGTCCAAGCTGTTAGTTTACAAGCTTATAATTTTATTCCATTATAATTATTTTTCCCTGTATTTATTGTTCAGTCCAAAGTGTGAATGTCTAAATATTCTTTTAAAATCAGTCACACATTCCATAATTTTATTTGCCTCCCTGTTGATATATACACTACTTCTTTCCAAAAGATAATTAATACAAAACATTTATTTGTACACAGGATTTTTCAAAATGATCTAGAAAATACAGGCAAAGAAAAAAAAGAAAAGTAACTAGAGGTCAAGAGTACAACAGGTACACAAAATACAAACTATACCTTGTGCAATAGAACTTCATTGCAAATTTGCCTTTGAACTTCCTAGCAGCCAAAATAAACAGGAAAACTAGATGTGTTTTACGCTTAACTACGCCCACAAGCTACACATAAATTAGTTGGCCAAGAGAAGAATGTTTGTTCCCAGAACTGAGATCTTAGACAAAAATTTCTTCTTAGTTATCGGGATTTTTTTTCTTTCTCTTTCCTTCCATCCTTCTCCCTCTGACCCAACATTTTTATGCACTGAGCTATCTTTTTTCTACAAGTCTTCAACAGTTGCTATATTTGACAAGCTGTAACAATCATGAGTGTGTAAACACATGTCAGTATCTACAGCCACAGATTCACTACGAGTGGGGAATGGTAGGTAGAGAAAGATGAACTTCTAATGGCAAGATGAAGATGTGGAGATAGCTTAACACCCTAGTAGAGACCTTAAAGCTGAAACGACAAAATAAATTTTAACATGAATACTTTAAAAGATGGCTTTTAGGCTGTAAAAATCTCACAAATAAAAGGTAATCAGGGCCCGGGATTTAGCTCAGTGGTTCTGGGGCCTGCCTCAAAAGCACAAGGTCCCCAGTTCAATCCCCGGTACAACAACAACAAAAAAGGTAATCAGAATATGGCTTAGTGGTTATTTATGTGAGGAAAAACCTACAGATTTGAGCTGACAGTAATTTCAAAAACAGTGGACTGGAGCTGCCTAAGAAATTAGATGATCTAAAGCCACATTAATCAGAATGTGATGCCCAGAAAAAGAGAAGCAAAGTTGTATTCTTCATTAATTAGATGAGGTCAGAATAAATCTGAAATGTTATGATTACTTCTAAGCACCAAACTTTACAAGAAATGATGAGAAACCACGGGCAGTCTAAGGATGATGATGATGACCATAGTAAAGGTGAGTTTGGTGACCAGGTACTGAAACTCTCTCAATTAAATGAAAAATAATACATATTTACCACTCCTGGGTATCTCTCCTACAAGGGAAATGGTTCGTGTGTGAAATACCTTACAGGGCCACAGTACTACACAAGTCCAAGGAGCACTGTTTGCATGGTACTCTGAAAGATAATCCTGGGAGTTATGGACCCTGGTAACCTGGCCTATATGTAGGACTATGTGTACACTACAGCACTATTCCTAATAGCTAAATGGTCGAACACAAGCCTCACTGTTCATTAATAAGAGACATTAACCCAATTGTATAGTACATTCATTCAACTGAATAGTATACAGCCATTAAAAAGAATCAGGCAGTTGTATATGTACTGAAATCAATAGATGTCAAGATATATTACACTATGCTATCATATGCAAGTCTATTTTAAAAGTTTTAAAAACTCCAAACAAGAAAATATTTACACTCTTTTTTTTTTTCAATACCAGGGATCTAACTCAGGACCTTGCGCTTGTGAGGCAGGCGCAGTACCATTGAGCTAAATCCCCGGCCCCTAAGAAACTATTTATAGTGGTGGCCTCTGAGAAAAATCCGGAACTGGGGGATAAGCACATAGGTAGGTGTACTTGTTCCTGAATGCCCCCTTTGTAATGTATAAATTTAGTATCTGATACATGTATGAAATCTTTAAAAATTTTGTAAAATTAAATTATCATCCTTTGTCTGAAGGAAAAAAAGAATTTAATTTAAAGAGGCCATTTACAGGGTCACAATGCTGATTAACCTCACAGGAATCAATCAACATAACTCAAAGTTCGTCTCTCTGGGTCCCACCCTTTCACCTAGCTACACACGTATAAACACACACACACACACACACACACACACACACAATCTTTTTTAATCCCCTTCAGAATTCTAAGGGCATTTTGCTTTCTTTCACAGCCACATCCGTCCTTACCCAAATCTGCTCTTTCTGAAGAATTTCACTTATTTTGCACTAAGGCTTAATGGATTGAGGATTGTTGGAAGTGTGCTCCCTCTCAGGATTATCTGAATTTATCTAGGAATCTGTGTTCAGCCATTAGAATGAAGTTCTAAGATACTGAGAGGAGATTTCAGACTCTGAGAAGGATGCTCTTTGATGATAAGGGTTTTTCCTGGCAGAGCCATGTGCCTGTGACTCTGTAGCATCACAGGTAGCTTAAATGAGGAAGTCGCAACCTTGTGCTTCTAATGTGTGTTTGTGTGTGTCGATAGATGCACACACATGACATCAGGGTGCAGGTATCTACACAGCTGTTTATGCATTCCTATTTAGTTCTATACATTAAATATGTGCTCCAAGCAGAATTCTTAAGCTAAATGGTATACAACCTGCTTTTGATTCATTAATATGAATGAAACATTTTAATATCAATACATAGTCATTTTAATACTCAAATTTCTCCAACAAGCAACTTGGAAAGATAAGTTTTTTTCTGTCTTGGAAAAATTCTGGCTCCATATCTGAAAACCAGGTTCTATTTTGCCTGCTGATTAGCCTCAAAGATCAGGCAGCTCTGTGCTGCAACTGACTGGAAACTCATGCCTGCTTCTGCAATGGGAAGAAAAATGATCTCCAAAAGGAAGCAGCAGAGAGCTGATTAGGAAAACATCATTTTGATATAAAACCAAAGAAACACAGAATATTGACACTGGGGGAAGGATTATGCATTTCAAGCCTTTCATTTTCCAGATGAGAAAACTGCCACTTTTTCAACCTGCTAGACCCCTAAGTCACCTGCCTCGGTCCAAGCTTATGGACCCAGAATATGTTGAAGGCAGAATTTCCATCTGTCTTTGTCTTTGTGGAGGCAGAATAGGTTTAGCTCCAAGCCTGCTTTACAAATTGCAAAGAAAGGAAGAAGATTCTGAATTCATCTGTAATACGTCACATCTCTGATACGGAAATGTGTTGGCTTGTTGATTCTTTTTTCTTTGTCCTGAGTTACCAGTAGCATCTAGAGAATTTATCTTGCCTGTTTATTGCATGAATCAGTCATCCTTGGCTTTTCTGGTCAGTTTCATCTGCATCTTCCATAATCATAACCATTAACTGGTAAATCAGGCTCACAGAACAGGAAGTCTTGGAATGGAGCCAACACCCAGAATGGAATTGTGCCTACAACTCACCTCTGTTAGACGGAAAATGTGTAACTGGGGGAGAACAAGCCACCTTAGCTACTGCCCCTGGAGAGGCGACAGGGAAATACGGGCGTGGCCATGTCTCGGGACATGCTAGTGTTCATTTTAAAGCTCTGTCGTAGAACTTTGGTGTGAGCATGTGAGCGTGGGCCAGGGGCTCCTGGACAGTTTAGCCCGAGCTGAATAGGAAAGCCTGCTGCATTGAACAGAGAAAAGAGCAGTCTACAGCAAAGGGGCCCCTCACATATAATTACCACCTTAAAATGGGGCCAGAGACCGGGGCCACTGGGTGGCAAGTGTGGAAATAGTACACTTACCCTCACAGAGGACCAAACCCCAGGTAAAGCGATTTTCAAAAACCATAGACATGACCACACCTATTAACGTGCTTGTGTGGATTCTGAGAAGCAAAGAGATCAGAATCTGCCCCCAAACTATAATCACTTTTGGTCTAAGTATGCTAGAAATACCATAAAGTGATCACCCAGATTGCTTTGTTTGACTCTCCCTTCTCTCTGCAGAATTTTCCCAGAAATTCGAAGCCGAGAAATGTGGTTTATTCTTAGTGTTCATGTTTCAAAGGTCCCCTCTGTTCACCTCCACAGATGCCTGGCTGCCCTTTTCCTGTGAGCTCAGGCTGCAAAAAAGGACAAGGGAGGGAGGCAGCATGAGGCAGGGCCCTTGGGGGCTGGGTAAGAGAGTGACGCTTCCGCCCCCCTCCAGTCTGAACCACTCACTCTCCACCTGAAGTCTGCGGAGTGCAGGAAGGGGTGGCTCCTTGGAGAAGAGCTTGGTGTCAGGGAAGGGCTCCACCGAAGAAACTGAGGAAGAAAGACAGATGCTTCCCCCTGTGCACAGACCCCGAGAGAACTTCCAAACACAGGCTCACCTTTACCTTCCCTAGAGCCTGGTGCATAATCTGTTTACATAATTTCACCTCCATGACATCACAGATCATCTGCACAGAGGAGCTTAGAGAGGGTCCTTAGCAAAGCCCCTGTTTTACAAATGAAGACGAGTCTGCCAGGGGTTAAGTAGTAGAAAGTGCCCATGTCCATATAAATTAGTACTGACCGAGGTCAAACTCCATCTCCCCAAAATCTTTATCTACCCATCTCTGATCTGAAGCTACATGCACTTCACCTCCAAACCAGTATAACTTGTAGCTAAAAGTTCTGAAGGAAATTTAGAAGTTTTACCTTTGCAAAAATATGCAGGTTATTCTCCTGTGTGTATGCATGTACATGTTTTATTTAAGCCCAAAACCAATGAATTATGCCTGTGTAGCTGGGCAGAGCTCAGAAAATATGGTAAGGAGCAGAGTTTTGGCCATTTGGGAAAAAGGATTGGTTTTGCTCCAGCATTTGGGGACACTGTAAACATCTCCGGGAAAACTTCAGCTAAGCCAGGGCTCTGTAACAATTATCAACCAGAATGTTATCTGAGTCACCCCAGCCCCACACAGGAGAGGCCTCTGTGATTACAGCCAAAGGTTACACACACAGCTCATGGCCGGATTAGCAGACATTTGCTCTGCCTGTGTCCACTTATTTACACAGTCCTGAAGGATTATAGACTGAAGTGCAATTCTTGACTATTTTTTAATAGCTAATAATTTCAGGATAATTCTCTGAGTTCCTCTTGGGAGGTTAGGAGGAATCAAGCTGAAAATGAAAAATTTTAAAGGAAAAAGTTTGAGCATCGAGGAAAGGAAAAGAGCTCTAGCATAATAATGGGAAGCAAGAGAGTAGATTTCTAGAAACAAAAAAAATTGGGTGATACAGAGATTATTGATTAAGAGAGCAGAAATAAGAACTTTCATGATATTTGGAAAGCGGTTGCTACATAGTAAAGTAGATAAAGTACCTGCCAGAAAGTTTTCAAGTGAAATCATTCACTTGTTATTTTAATTAAAAATATGACTACCAATCAAGGAACCAGAGGCTGTGGCCCATAAATGAAGTATTTAAAATGCATTACACTGATTAATAAAAGGACTCTGATTACCTTGCTGACTAGAAAATTTCATACCAAAGAGATACGTTTGGTATTCTGCCCACATCATTAATGATTCAAAACACATATATCTGAAGGAGAATCAAAACTTGTAGTTGGACAAACCTTTGGGAACAGCTTTCAGGATGTTCATTCACTTTTCCTGTACATGGGTCAGCACCAGGGACCAACATGAAGTGCCTTTGTGTTTTCATGAAGATTTCTTCTGAGTTTGCTTTCACTCTGGATACTGTCTGCTTGTCTCAGAATAAACTTTATATCATGACATCCCTTAAATGTTCAACTATTTATTGGATCCAGTATTTAAAAATTAATCTATATATTTATGTTTTTTTATGTCATTATTTTTAAAGTGATCATCCGGTAAATGCTATTTTGCTTACTTGTTTTTAAGACCCATATTTCTGCCATTCCCTGGGAGGTCTCTCAAATGCCAGCCAGCACATTTTATTGTTTGTTTTACAAAATATGTTGTTATTTAAATTAATAAAACATGATTTTATCTGAAGACTTTTGCTTTAGGTTTTTATTTGTTTGTATGCTTTTGTGGTGCCAGGATTGAACCCAGAACCTTGTGTATGCTAGGCAAGCTATGTCCCCAGCCCTTTTTAAAATTTTTATTTTGAGATCTTGCCCAGGCTGGATGGGAACTTGCGATCATCAAATTTGGATCCTCCCAAAGTGTTGGGACTACAAGCATGTGCCACTGAAACCAGCTGAAGATTTTATTACTACACTTAAAGTAACTTGAAAGAACAACTGGATGTGTCTCCAACTTTAAGAAATTACTACTAAGTGCTGGGGAAACACAGGACCCACAGTTTGGACATACATTCTGGAGATGGACTTCCAAATCTGTCCTCAGATGGGCTTGGAGAGGGACCCAGAGCTGCTGGGAGAAGGACAAATGAGTTTCCAGACTTCTTTGTAACCTAATAGCTTTATTCTCTGCTACACACTAAATCTATATTTGTTTATAGATTATAGTCAACTTTTGATTATTGGTGTACTTATTAGGTTGCAGATTTCGGAAACTAACATTTAGATACTAAATTGATTTTTTAGCCAGCAGAGTTCTGAGTTACCATTCCAAAAATGACACAATGACCTTCATATTGGCTTAAATGTACTGTATTTAAAATTAAAATTTAAATACTTATTGCAATCCCATGAAAAATACTATAGTATGTTTTAAAAGAAATAAAAATGGGTAAAAATTGTTCTGTTAATCTTTCTCAGGACAATCAAATATTGAGTACAGAATCATCAGTTATGTAAGAAAATTTAAAGTAGCATATTTGTTATAGGTTTTACCCTTATAGGTAGTAATTTAAGCTGAAAGTAACTAAAGCTGAAGAAGCCCAACCTTTCCAAGTAAACAAAAATATTGTTTCCCAATCTGGATGCTAGTTACCTAGGGTTATTTTGTAAAACTTAGTTAGGCTGCTTGCTTACAATTTGTGTACTTTTCTGCCTACAGCTTTTCAAATATGCTTTTAAAAAATCAAAGAGTAGCACATAGCAGTTCAACAGTTTTCAATGGCCAAAAGTTCTGCTTTTAGTTAATAAATTCTCAAGGGCTTTAATCCAGCCACATACCCTTCAAGGCCACACAGAAATAGCTCCTATTCTTTAGAACTATTTGAAAAAGCACTCAGTAACTAACAAACAAGTCCTAGGCCTTCTGTTCCACAATGCTCCTAAAGCACTCCTTTGTGAGTAGAAATTGATATAAAAAAAAAAACCTCTTCAGTCTATGTCACTCACCCAGCAACTAGGATACTGTTTATATCTAACCTTAGTATTGAAAGAATTGATGATTGGATCAGAAGTATGTGAGAAAAAAAACTGAAGTAACTCCAAAGAAAGATGAAGCTTTAACTTGAATTTAAAACTGAAGAGACAGTTTTACACTCCTGTTAAATGGATTTTTTCTACACATACCTGTCCATACACACATGAGCCAATGATTTCCTGCATAAACCCTGAAGATATGGCTCTAAGTCCTAGTGTTTCTGTGCAGACAACCACCTAGCATACAGAACACTGGAATTGTTTCTTTCCTTTCTCAGGTTCTGTAATTTGCTGTCTCCCAATTGAAAGCCACAGCCCGTAGTCCTAACACTATGAAAACACTCATTAGAGTGAATGAAGATTTGGCTCTACGAGGACCATACGAGTCGACTTGCATTGACAAGAATTTAAAACAGTTTCTTCTCATTCACAGGTAATGACACCAGCATCTCAAAGTTCCTTTCTTAAAACCTCAGAAACTTCACATGGCCCCCGTGATTTGGCTATTGAGAAAATGAGAAAAGATAGTCTTCCAGATTCAGGGTCAAATAAATTACCCATCGCCTCGGCCCTGAGTTATTTTACATTAGACATAAGTATAAGTTTTCAGTATACCTTTAAAATATTCTTAGCATTCAGGACTTGCTATTTAACCAGTTGTTCACTAAACAAATTCTTTTACTACATAAATTCATAAGATAGAAGCAATTTAATTACATAGTATGCAATTTTTTCTTTTTAACAGAGTCTCCATCTAATTTTTTTTAAAAAAATAGATACTTCCTTTATCTTTCAGTCAAAATAACCATACCAATGTATCATGAAGCTTGTAAATACAAATCCTAAGCAGAGAAACTGGCCTTAACTATTCTATTTACTTCCTTCAGAACTGATTATCAGAGACCACTGAATTAGTACAGAAATGTATACCATTAGCATTTTGTCTGAAAGTTAATGGCACTTGTGATTTATATATGAACAAAAAACATCCCTATACATGAAAAATAATTGCATACACTCTATCGGTAAATGCTACACCTGAAGCCTTCTCATCTCTTTTATTTAAACAGAAGTGATGTTAAGTAGGGTATTTATTTGCAGTCTGCTCACCAGATGGTCTAACTACTCAAGTTCCCTCATTAACTAGTTGATTTGGGAAGTTAGAATCAGCATGCTAATTTATTTTTGATTTATTAAGCATGGATTCCAGAAAATTCCCTGATTAAAAAAAATTGCCTTAATGTTTGTTTTCCTTACTTTTGTATAAAACAGATATGCTGCATTAAACACTTCTACAATCTTGTTCTATGATTGTAGTTCAGAAAAGAAAGTTAGCTTTTTGGTTTTTCTGAGTTTAGCTTTTGTGCCTGAACTAAAACTCATTAAAATGATGAAGATCATCAAGGTGCCTGTGGAACACCTTCTTCCATTAATTAACCCTCAAATGGAGGAGAAAACCTTTTTCATTCACGTGGACACAGAGATGATGTATCTTTAAGTGGCTGTTAACAGAGAATTATCAGCCTGTCCCAAGCCAGCCACATTGTCTAGATTAGGTCTCAACGCTCTGTTTCAAACACAATCTAAAAATATTTTGTTAATTTGTGTCATCACAGTCAGAAGAAAAATTAGAAACATAGAATGCATTACTAAATATAATTTGTTCAGGATTTCAATTTCTAAGCACAAGGTGAAAAAAGAAAAGTAAGAAATACACTCAATATATATGTTTATGTATACTGTATATACTTTTATATGTAATATACATATCATAAGTATATGATACAGATCAGTCCATAAACATTGTAGTTTAAAAAGAATGAAAAGATAAAATTAGAAATATGTTTTAAGCAAATACTTGAACAATAAGAGCTACTGGTTTAGAGTAGGTAACTCATGTTTGCATTTTAAAAAAATCCATTTTCTATCAATTTTACAATTGCACCTATATTTTTTACCTTGTTTATAAGATGCCAAAACCATGTTCTCATCTTCAACTTCAAAAACTGTGTCCACATCTATTTGTCTTTTGATTAAAATAGCCTTCAATTTTCCAAAGTCATTTGACTTTAGAGCTTCAAGGAAATTTTTCTTAGCTAACTTGGCAGCTTCAGATTTAGTGATTGGGGCAGTGGTGTCTTCCATCCTCTTGTCCCTCTGGAAGCTGTGTTGTGATTGCTCAGGAGAGCAGCACCAAGCAAACAGGCACAGGCTAGAGAGTCCAAAAACTGTTGGCTAATTTTATCCCAAAGTTATGCTGATCTGTTCTATTTATATAGGGATCATTTCAAACTTCAAAATATCCTTCTTGGCTGTCACTGCATTTCCAAGTCCCTGAAACTCATTGTATATTAGCTGATTCATTCAGTAATACATAGTGTTGACAGGAAAGGAAGCTCTTGCAATACATTTCCAAGCATGAAATGTTATTGTTACTTCTTATATGATAAAAGTAATAATATAAGATTTAAAAGCTCTTAAGAGTCTTTTTTTCTTTCCTCACTAAAACCCTCTAGTGCCTGGCTAAAGACTCAGTGTCTTGCTCTAACCAATAAGCAAAAATGAAAATTTGTTTCAGTTGTTGATACATATGCCTCTGAAAACTTGTAATAGTTTTTGTAAATAAGACGGTGACATCAAGCCAGATTATATATATTTGAAAATAAATAGAACCCTTTTGAGTGACCTAGACTTGAATTTTTTTGATGTTATAAAAAAGGAGGGTAGGGCCGGGGATTTAGCTGATTGTTTTATGCAGCCTGCTGCGCAAGTGCAAGGACCCGAGTTCGATCCCCGGTAGCAAAAAAAAAAAAAAAAAATGGAGGGTGGAACAGTGGACGAGGGCATTTTAGGGGAAAAGAGAATAACAAGAAAAAACAGCTAAAAGCAAAAAGTAAATGAATTTTATTGATCATTGTATTTTTCCAAACCAGTTGAAAAAATATTACATTGAGATAATTTGGAAATATAAACATGGGCTAGTTCTTACATTACCAGATAATAATATGGAATTATTTATTTTACAGTGTGATAAAATGTATTATGGTTATGTACAAAAATATCCTTTATATAAAGTGATGTAGTAAGGGACAAATAATGATATCTAAAACTTTTTTTGTAGTTGTAAGGATCAAACCCAGGATCTTGCATAGCATGCACTTTAGTACTGAACAAACTCCCAGCCCCTCAAGCTTTTCAAAAACAGTTCCCATATACAATAGGTAGGTAGGTGTGTGAGTGTCAGTGTGTAGGTATCTATGCATGTGTGTGTATGACTAGAGACAGAGAAAACAAAGGTGAAAAAAGTTAACAGCTTGTAAATCTAATGAACTTGTGCAGTTATCTATTATGTCATTCTTTCAGCTTTTCTGGAAATTTGAAGTTTTTCAAAATAAAAGTTGAAAGAAAAATACACACTCAATTTTTTACTTATAGTCACTAAAAATAGAAAAATGAAAACTAGTACTAACAAGAATACAAATAAATCATATTTGCATATTGTTAATGGGAGCCAAGATGATATAGACTTTCTGCAGAAAAATTAGCAACATTAATTTTTTAAACTTTAAAATGACATTATTATTTGATTATTAGAATTTAAGTATGTAAATATGGATGCAAATCACAAAGTATTTTTTAACTTATTAAATAAATGTGCAGACATAAACACAAGAAACCAACAAACCATAAGGACTGTGTAACCAAAACACAGATCAAACCATAGAAAGGCTCAAGCTCATCTGAAGTCCCCTGCATGTCCTCTTCCACTCAAAACACTCACCTACCTCCCAGCGACAGCCATTATCATGACTTCTAATAATGTAACTAGTTTTGCTTATTTTGTATTTTAGTTTTAATTTTTACTATTCAAAATTTTTGTTCATTTCAACATGTTTTAAGTTTTCCAGATTTTAAAAATAGTAACAACAACAGCATCATACATGCAAATGCTTCCTCAAATAGGGTTTGGTCCCCAAAAGACTGTTCTGTGACATACTGCTTTTGTGAAATTGGACTGAGATTCTTAGGGAGCAGTTTACAAGTCTATCTTAAGTTGTAATTTCTTCCAAAAAATGCCTACTGGGTACTTGTTTTAACACTTTCAGAACACTGATGAAATAGTAGTCAAAAAAAAAAATCGTAATACTTGCTTAAGTAGAACTTAGCATGTACTGGATTTCAGTGGGGATGGAAGTCCCTGGATTCTTTCCTTTCTGTCTCCTGTCCACTCGAGTTTGTCACAGAATTGTATATTCATTGAATTTCATACAGAAATAGTATAGTTTGTTTATATCCAATTAATGTATCTGATTGCTCTTTTAATTAACCCCATCTTGTTAAAGGCAAAGGGGAGCACAGTTTTATTTTGCTTTTATTGGATATGTTTAGTCTAATCCAATTATTTAGCAGTCTCTAGGAAAGAATCAGTCTCTGAATAAAATTCTTTGAGAATTCTGACTTTTCTTCTCAAAGGGCTTCCAGGAATAAAAGATCTATAGTGAAACAATATTCAAAATACTAATATTAGCCAAGTGTGGGAGTGCATGCCCCTAATCTCAGCACTTGGAAGGCTAAGACAGAAAGATCACCACAAGTTTGAGGCCCACCTGGGATACATAGTGAGTTGAAGGCCAGCCTGAACTACATAGCTAGACCTTGTCCCAAATCAGAACAAAATACAACAAAACCCTAATATTTAACAATCAGTATTCATTAGAAGAGACCTTTGCTATAAATTACCAGTATGGGCAGACCAATGTGAATCAAGTGGATAAGAGAGTCCTCAGTTGGACTCATTGTCCTATGGACCCTCCCTGATTCCCATCACAGAAAGGTAGAAGGTTTTCTCACTAACTCAATCCTTTTTGGCTCTATTCAGATTTCTGAATCAGTACTGGAGTATGTGATCTCAGTCACTTGCCTCCAATTCTGATGTCCTCAAATGTCTTGAACCACATGGTTATTTTAGCCCAATGTACACTCGGAAGCTGTGAGTCCTCGTTTCAGGCACATCACCACTGCAGGGCCCTTATACTTCATGCAAGGATCATGACCAACCAGTAACTTTCTATTTAGACCTGTTAAGGCCACAGTGGAGATGGATCTAAACTCTGGACTAGAGCTCTCCAAGGAGTCCATGTTTTCTCTAACACTGAGCCACTAGCTTCAGTGTCCTCAGAATTATTCCAGTATATCTAGTTGTTTCTAAACCACTCACCCCATTGAACTTTAACTCTTGAAGAAGCATATGAGAATGGAAGAGAACATAGCATCTAACCCCTCAATCAACCTACATACATCTCCTCAATCTATAGAGGCTTCCAATCTTTCTGGGTAGCCAATTTTTGGACTGTTAACTTTCTATACAACTTTTCGTTTTCATGCATAGGTCAACGAGCCTGTTAATCCAGGCTTGAGGTCAACCCCAGGGTAGGAGAGTTTTCATCTTTGTATTGTGGAGGAAACTTTGCAAGACTGAGTTCAGGGGTGGTCCTTAATATACTAAAGAAAGAAACAGTGCTTTAGAAAATCTTTTTCTTTTTTCTTCTTTTTTGTAGTATTGATGATTGGACCCAGGGACTTTGACTAAGATATATACCCAGCTCTGTTTTGGTTTTGGGATCTTTGGGGGGTTTTTTGTTTTTGCTTTTTTTGAAACAGGGCCTTGCTAAGTCACTAAGTTGCCCAGGCTGGGCTTGAACTTGTCATCCTCCTGCCAGAGTTTTGGGATTATAGAAAGGCACTATCATACCTTTCCTCTAAAATTCCCATTTTTGTGTGCCTGATATTCACAACTTTGTCTTCCTGAAGGACTATAAAATAAATGGAACTAAAAAAACTATAAAAATAAATGGAACTAAACTTTGCAGAATAATTTAAGAAAAAGTAAACTTCCATGAATGTATAAAATTAAAGTTACCTCTATTATTCTGCTAAAATTCATTTATTAACCAATATATCTAAGCAACAGAATATAGAATTTAGGGATTATTGACACTTACAAAACAAATAGGTCTTTAATGAAATCTCCCATTAAAGTCATTGTAACATATACAAAATAATGTGTCCACTGCTAATAAAACAGACTTGAGGTCTAGGCTTGCCTTTATTAGCTAGACCACAGGTTCCAGTCACCATCTATCTTGGCCCCAGCCGGTCACATTACCCAGTGGCCATGTTTCATTTCATATAGTCAAGCCTGTCAGAGATTCCTGTCTCCTCAGCTCTTAAAAATAAGAACTCTCATCCTGTAAGATGGGATTTTTATTAGTGTTTCATGACATGCCTGGGACAATGTCCTCTGCTCCTGAAATGGCATGAAGAGCTTTCTGACAAGGCGATGCTGTGGTGAGTCGACCATGAGACCCTCTCATACTCTCCACAGACCTACAGTTGAGGCAGTAGGCTTCCAGTTTTCCTGATGTCTGTGTATAACACAGCCTGTTCACTGCAGTACCACCTTTGGAACACACATGGCCCTTTGGTTTACTATGGTATTTAGACATGAATTTGATGCTACTAGCTGCAATTATCAAATGTAACCTTAGGAGAGAAATTAGCAGCCAAAATGCATTCTCAGAAACTAGAGTTTCTGTGAAAAGCATACCTCGGGTCTCTCTGATTTTCCTAGCAATGAAATAAGATGTCTTTTCTATAAGCCCACAGACATGGGTGACAAGGTTGTTTGACATCCCTTTCTTCTTATCTGTTATATTTAAATTACTATGCAGCATTTTCCTCACAACGTGTAACCCTGTTTTCTTTGCCACAATTTCAAATGTGTTAGTCGCAAAGTTTTGTATAAGGATGCTTTTGGTTGTAGGTACAGCCAACAACTGGAAGTGACTTAAATAGTAAATAAAATGTATTGGTTCACAAAGTGGAAAATTTCAGTTGTAGAATATGTTTCAGCAGAGGTCTGATCCAAAAGATTTTAATATCAGTAAGTCTGTGCCAAGTACGTGCCATTACCAGTACAGATCAGGAAAATCAAGAACCAAAATTTTGCCATTTTGTCAGATGGCAAAATCAAGAACCACTTACCATCTGACATCTACAAAATCAGACGGCAAATAAGTAGTAGATTAAAACTCAAACCTAGCTCTTGAAATTTGAAAACCAATGTTTCTGTTGATCAAGTGACA